CTCTTTCGGGCGAGGGGGTAGGGCGAGACGAGCGGCTTCGTGAGAAGGCGGAGGGGCTTTTCCGAAGCCAGGGGCCTCCCTAGGGCCTGGAGACTCCTAAGAAGACTTCTCAGCAGGCGACAGGGCTTCCGAGACGCGCTCTGCCTTCATACAGGCCCCACGCCCGCACGCTTAGAGGGCCGTCCCCCCTCGCGATGCCCCCCTTGTGCGCGCCGCCGACGGAAGCTGCTGCAAGGGGGGGGGGGGGGGCGAGGCTTTGGGCCAATCCTGCACTCGGGAGGCGCGGTGCGTGGCTGCGCCCAAGGGCACAAGCATGGCAACACCTACCATGCGAGCACGTGATGCAGACGCTAGGCGCGCCCCCGCGTGACGACGCACGCACGTACCCACGAACGGCGGCAACGTGCATAGACCGTGCGAACAACATATGGCACCAGCGGATGTGGTATGAGGTATGATGCGAGTCGAAGGTCCTGTGCGTAGGCACACACACTGACGCACCCACACGCGATCACACGCAGACACACACACACACACACACACACACACACACACACACACACACACACACACACACACACACACACACACACACACACACGCGACACTCACCTCAGCGAAATTGTGCCAGCTGTCGGTCGTACGCTAGCGGTACGCGCGAGCTAAAATGCTTTCGAGCGTATGCCGACCGCGCTCCGACCAGGGCAAGGTTCCCCTCCTGTCCCTGTGGCCACCATTGTCCTTGTTGTCGTAAACGGCGGTTTGTCTGCGCCATGCCACAAAAGCGAACTCCACAATGTCTCTGACTTGCTCATCGCTGTCGTTGCCGGCGGCAAGCGCGCTGCCGTAAATCAGTGGGGCCTGAGATAGTTGTTTGAACAGGGGTTTCATGCCCCCGGCAACGATTGGAGGTTCCTTCTGGACGCCTTTCAAGGTACATGGAAATATTACACGGTCATCATGTTTCGGAGGTCGGCGCGGACCGCTCGGATGTGAGCTGGACCACTCTGGCGGTACCTCCAGCGCCGCCCCTGGCGTGCTCCGCGAGCCAGGAGCGGGGAGGTCAACGCCGATCCGAGAAATCCGCGCGGAGCTCCGAAAGCGTATGTGTTTGCAACTGATTGTCGTCTCTGGGATAAGGTAGATTCGCAACTTGCACCTGCAACCGTCAGTCGGGACCGCCACCGGTAAAACGTCAGTCTGATGACCACCCAGCTGCTCGGACGCACAAGGGGCACGCGAATAAGGCAAAATGAAGCAACATCACGATGTCGTATACCAGTGCTGAACCTAAACGGTGTTTTTCGTTTTCGTGTTGTGTTCGCTTTCCCTCGCTTTTGTCTCGAATCCGCCTTTACTGCAAAACGAAATCGAAAGGAAAACGGCCCACGAGATCACCAAAAACATCGTTCAGGTCCAACCCTGCCGCATACCGCATATTCTTGGCTCCCCTGGTTCCAGCCGGTATGCTTCACAATCGAAGGTCTTCTGCGTAGCGACTCCCAAACGAAAGGCCCCTACACAAGGAACGGTGCCCCTTCTCGGGCCCTCAAAGCTTAAGTCGGGCCTGTCCTCCTACAAGGGGGTTTTGGACGAACAAAAACTCCAAAATGGTGAAACAATATTAGAAAGATGTTCCCCATATGATTTTTTGACTATTTTTGAATGTTCCCCCTGTCGAGGGACGTGCCCGACTTAACTCAAAGCGGGTGGGTGCACGAAAAGCGCCACAGGAACAACCACGAAAGGGCCTAAAGAACAGCGATCCTCATCCGAAGGCCGAGCTGCTCCTCACTTCAGCGCCTTGACTGCACTCGCTGCACCCATTCGCGCGAGGATGCCATCGACCTTCAGTAGGAAAACGAACTCTATACCCCGACGCTTTTCCCCACCCTGTGTTGAAATATGCTGATATTCGCACAGGAACGCGGATTCTGGTGTACACGGGATCCTGGTGCATACATTTTGCGTTGTTTCCCTGGAACAACGGGGGAAAAGTATACACCACACCACCCTGACGTCGTCCCCGACCCTCCAACAAGTCCTGGGATTGCAAAACCGCCCGCCACTGGTGATGTATCTGCTCCAGTTCCCGATTCATCACCAGGCACTGCAGAGCTTCTCCGATGGAGTCGAGCCGCGACTCCCATGTGTGCCTGGCCTCTCGCCGCTGCACAGCGCTGCCGCCCGCGACGAGCGCGCCACACGCTGGAAACCTCCAGGGCGCTGCGCGCACCGGACACTGGAGAGCAGACGCTGCATCAGACATACGCTTGCGGAGGTGCGCGCAGCAGATTTCTCAGACCAGCGCTGGACACCCCTCCTCCTCCTCCTCCTCCTCCTCCTCCTCCTCCTCCTCCTCCGTGCCATTTTGCCCCGCCGTACCCCTCCTCGTCCTCGCCCCTCCTTCCCCTGGCTCGGGGATCGGCGGAGCTGCCGCGTGGGCGCCAGGCCCACAGACCAGGGAGCGCACCCCCGAAACTTTGACGCCGGCGTAACCTGATTTGGCAATGGAGCGCGCCGGTTCAGCACGGAAGCGGGACCCGCCGCCACCGCAGTCCACATTTGCGTTTCCACAGTCACCCCCCCTCTCTTTCCCTGTACTCGGGGGCGCGTCAACATGGATTGACGATCCATGGATTTGGCGCGCGGTCGGCGAATCCATGGATCGAGGGAGGTACCCTCCCCAAATGCGGCCGGTGCCACCTCGCTCGGCAGCCGAAGCCCGCGATGTCCCATGGAAACGGGACCCGTCGCTAATCCACGCCCCCTTAGTCCATGTTTGCGATCGCCAGATGCACCCTTCTTCCTTCGCATCCCTCCTCCCCGCTTCCCTCCCTCCATTTCCCGTCCCCCTGCCTCGCCTCTTCCCCATCACCCTCTGCCCGCCCGAGCCCCGCTGCAATGCAGACGTCCCCATCTCCAGACTCTGTCCCTTTCCCCCATCCATGTCCTCCCTCCCGTTCATCTCCAACCTGCCCGCCCGCAAGGAGGAAAAAGCACTAGAAAAGTTCACCCTTACCTTTTTCACACCCTCCTCGTAAAGGCCGCGCTCTCGCGCGGAAGGTGATGCGATGTAGATTTCGCGGCTTTGACGGTGATTAGATTTATAAAAGGATTTAAACAAAGGGCGTCGTGGAGGGCGCGAGGAAGGTTGCATTGCGCCTTCGACTGGGCGCGGTGCAAGTACAAGTCTGTGTGGGAGCACGAGCGGCATGGCGAATGCAATCAACATCGCAGTCATGTTACGCAGCTGCGAGGTGTAGACTAATGGCTGTTGGTTACGATTGCGGCGTCGTCACTGGCTTTTCGTGAGGAGCCGCTTTTGCTACGGAACATCGCGCTCTCAGCGCGTGCCCGACATAACCCTACCAATAACATTCAGCAGGACGGCGAATACCACCGATTGGATTCAGATCAGGACCTCAGATCAGGACCCTGAACTTGGTCGCGACCCTTGCTTATTTCGCGACCCTGAACTCTTCACGACCATTAACTTGTTCGTGACCATTAACTTCTCGCGACCCTCAACTTTTTCGAGGTGGTGGACCTCCCAACAAATTAGGGACATCAGGTTCTCGCCCAATACTTCCCCCACCCTGCACTTTTTCGTCCGAGGTGGCTGCCCCCCCCCCCCACGCGCGCAAAGAGACAGCAACTACAAAACAAGCGATGAACGAACCCAAACCACCGCCTCGTCCAGAGGGTGCGGTGCGATGGCGGGATGACCTTAACAAGTTGAGGTTGCCCGCCTTTTTCTCTCCATGCAGAGCCTGGGCCCCAACTACCAGTGTGCATGCCTCCCCCCCTTCTCTTCACCGTACCACACACACATTCCCTTCCCTTCCCCGCGGCTGCCCCCCCCCCCGCCCCTCTGTCTTCCTCCTGCTCTTCGACCCCCGTCCTCCAAGCCCTTCGATCCTCGATCCTGCCTCCTCCTCGATCCCCCTCGATCCTCAGGAGAAGGTGGCGACTCCCCTTGCGCCTGCTGCGCCGGGAGGGGGGGGGGGCCAGCAAGAGGAGGGCGGCTCGCGCCTCGCGGCACGCGCGCGGCCGAGAGGGAGGCCACAGGGACGTGCTGCAGGAACACGAGACGCAATATCTACGCACACGCGCGCACCCACCTTAGGGGAACAAAAAGTGACATAAACATAAAAACTCGGAGGTCCGCGCGGATTTCTCGGATCGGCGCTGGGGCCCCCCGGCGGCGCCTCCGGCGCCGCCCCTGGCGCGCTCCGCGCGCCAGGGAGGGGGGTCCAGCGCCGATCCGAGAAATCCGCGCGGACCTCCGAGTTTTTTTATGTTTATGTCACTTTTTGTTCCCCTGCATCCGACGACCCCTCCTGCGGCGACTGCCCTCGGCGCTGCCGGACGCCTCGGCCCCTGCCTGCAGGGGCCCCGGCGTCTGGAAGCGCCGAGCGTGGTGCCAAGGTCAGGGCGGGCACGTCCCCGTACAGGACGATTTTGGACGACAAACAAACATATCCCCCCCAAAAAATCAAACATATGTTAAAACTGCTCCAAACATGTTCCCCTGATTATTTGATTATGACTATTTGGGAACTTTCCTCCTGTGGAGGGGCAGGCCCGACCTCCTGCCAAGGGGGGCACTTGCGCACCGCCGTGGGCACGTGCCCCCTGCACGGTGCGCGCGCCGTTTCTCGCGCAGCGCCGCGTCGCGCGGCCGCACCTGTGCGCGGCGGCCGCGCACCCCCCCCGTGCGCGCGCGCCCGGTCGTCGTGTGCCGTCCTCGGTCTTGGAGGCCCGGAAAGTGGCACCAGCACCAGCACAGGGGGCTGCCTCCACACGGGGAAGACGATCCTAGATGCCGGTGTTGGCGGCACTATTTCGGCCACCTGGGGAGCCAGAACAGCACCACCATCGCCCAGATCGGGATCGTCTTCCCTCGGTGGAGGCACACCGCCGATCTTGGTGCTGGTGTCCACCTCCAGGCCTGCGATGGTCCGCCGCGAGCTCGGCGCGCAGCCTCTCGAGCGCCCTCATCGCCCGGGAGGCGGGGGCGGAGGCGGCGGAGGCGGCGGCGTCCCCTGAGCGCGCGCGTCGGGGCCGGGGGAGGCCAGAGGCAAGGAGCTGCAGCAGGGAGGGGCGGGGAGGGGGGAAGGGGGAGGGGGGAGGGCAGGACGGGGTGGAGAGGGGAGGGAGGACGAGCATGGGAGAGGGGGCAGGGAGGGAGGATGAGGAGGACGGGGAGGAGACCAGGGGGTGGGGGAGAGGGGGATGGGTGGGGCGGACGGAGAGACGAGGGTTGGAGGAAAGGAGATCTGGGGGAGGAGGGGGAGGAGGTGTAAAGAGGGGAAGGAGGGCGATGAGCAAGAGGAGGGGGAGTGAGTTTCCGTTTTGCTAGAGGGCGCTGCCATGCTAAGCTCTCCTGAGCGAGCCTGACCTCGAAGCCGGACCAACATGGCGGGAACCGAACATGAGGCTGGCGACGAGGAGACGGAGAGCGGCAGGAGGAGGATGAGGAGGAGAGGCCAGGGGGGGGGGGGGCAAAGGAACGAGGATGAGCTCGAGAACCAGGGCGGACGAGAGGGGGGAGGGCAGTTGATGAAGGGGAGTTGAGCGAAACAGCTCACGTCGCCGGATTCCACGGCGCCTCTCAGCGCTGGGAGGCGTCAATGTATCCGGGAAGGGCGCCCGGCGGCTGCAAGCAGCAGATGTAGTGGCCCGTCCGCTCCGAGAGCGTCAGGAGAAGACGAGTCTGACGAGGAGCAGCAGCCAGAGAAGGAGAAGCGTAAGGATGGGGGAGGAAACGGGAGACGGAGCAGGGGGGGCAGTAAGAGGAGGAGGAGGGGGAGGAAGAGGAGGAGGAGGAAAAGGAGGAGGAGGAAGAGAGTGAATCAGAAAGTAGAGGAGGGAAAAGGGGAGGAAGAACAAAGAAGAACTGAAAGGAAGAAGAGCAAACAATCAAGAGTATGATGTGGATCTGGAGGAAGTGGGGAGGACGGGTAACCGCCAGGAGGGAATGAGGGAGGGAGGCAGCAAGAGAGATAGGAAGAGGAGAAGTGCGGGGAGGGAGAGGCGGGACAGGTAAAGAACAGCCCCAGACCTCAAGCGCTCCGAGAACGCCCCAGGGACCAGTACAACCAAGCACGATTCCAGAATGATACCTGGGCACGACACTCACCCCCGACAAGCTCGGTACTGCCTGCGATGGTAGCACGCCGCGTCCTGGCAGACAGGCGCTGATAGTCAAACAAGCGGCAGACATTCCCATCGGAGGCCAAAGCATGGAGCAGCGACACCAGGGGCCTCGGGACCAGGGGCCTCGGGACCAGAAGAGTCCTCCAGAATCCAAAAGTCAGACAAGAGCTGGCTCTGACTGCTCTGGACGCTGCCGGAGAGAATCCGAGTGCAGCAATGGAATGGCCGTTTGTCTTCTGCCCCCCGTCGCCCCCCTGTCACGGAAGGATTCCGAAAAGACTCCCTCTATCATTAAGTCGGGCATTTCCCCCTACCGGCGGATTTTGGACGAAAAATAGAAAATAGTCAAAACATGCACCCAAAATTGTCAGACATGTAGAAAAATCGTCCCAAAACTATTTTTTGGCTGTTTTTGAATCTTCCCCCTGTAGAGGGACAGGCCCGACTTAACTCTATCACGGAAGGGCCATGGCGATGGAGAATGAAAACGTGCTATGGGTCTCAGGCCACTCGGACGCCCAAGGCGCGCCGGCCTTCCGCACGTCGGTCGCCGTCGTTCCTCGACGTCGTCGTCGGCTGGAGTGCGCAGTCGTTCCCGTCGCCGTCGATCGTCGCCCTCGTCGCCGTCGGTCGGCGTCGGTTATCGGCGTCCTCGTCCGTCTCCGTTGTCGTGGTCGTCGTCGTCGTCGCCGTCGTCATCGTCCGTGGTCCGCCGTCGTCGCCAGCCGCCGACGTCCGTCCTCGTCGTCTTTCGCCCCTTGAGCCTCCCCAGTCGTGGCAGGCAGGCGGTCTGGCGGGCGGTCGGGCGGGTTGGCAAGCAGTCCTTGGCGGCGCGCACAAGGAAGCGGCGGGAGGGGGCCGCCTTCTTAGAGGGCGGGGGAACTTCTAAGGAGGCAAGGGCCTCCTTCTACGGTAACTCATGGGAGCCTCCCATCTCGTCTGGTTGGCTCTTGCGAATCGACTCTACCCGACGCTAAGTCGACGCTAATCGACGCTAAACCGACGCTACATCGACGCTAACCGACGCTAGTCGACGCTAAATGGGCGTTAGCTTATCGATTACCAGACGCTGATCGACGATAGTGCTTTCTAAAAACGGAATTACGAGGGTATAGAAAGCTCCTATGATTTGCCACGGAAGCCTCCTTATAAGGTCTCGAGTGGCTTCTACGAAGGCTTCTCGTAATACCTATTTCGTCAGCGCAGACAGACCAGAACACATCGAGCGAACAAAGATAACACCGCTTTTGATCTTCGAAATTCATTCGCCAGCCCAGCCGTGCTAAGATCTCCGGCAACTGGTTAACAATATTTCTAGTTCGCGCGCGCGGGGCCGTCCCTGGTGGTCCCCCGACGAAAAATACCCCGGCAAGGTCCTGGTAAGGTCCCAGCAAGGTCCCGGTCAGGTCCCAGCCAGGTCCCAGCCAGGTCCCAGCAGGCTCCCAAGAGCGCTCTAGGAGCGCTTCAAGTGGCCTCCAAGAAAGCTCAACATGGTCCGAGACGGTCCAAGAGCGATCCAAGACGCCAAAGATGGCCTCCAGACAGCCCAAAAAGCTTTCAAGACGCCCCGAGAGGCCTCCAAGAGCAAGAGACCTCCCAAGAGGGCCCACAGAGGCAGAAATTAGTGATTTGCCGTCAGTGTTTGAAAGTTTTTTGCGTTCTCGAATTTTCAGCTTACAGGCGTTCCAAGACAGCCCAAGAGGCTTCCAAGATCGCCCCCACACGGCCCAAGAGGCCTCCAAGAGCGCCCAAAACGGCCCCAGAGGGCCCCAAGACAGCCCCAGAGGCCTCCAAGATGGCCGAAGCGGTTCCCAAGACGACTTCAAGAGCGGGCCCAGACGAGAGACCCGAACGGACATTTCGAGCTCTAGGCGCAGAGAGGTCCCCTGAGGCCCCAAGAGGCCCCCAAGAGTCCCTCGAGAGGCCCCAAGAGATCCCCAAGAGGCCCACAAAAGGCCCCCGTGACATCCCAGGAGGTCCCAGAAATAACGCCATGAGGCCCAAAACGAGGCCCCAAGAGGCCCCCAAACGGCCTCCAAGCGGCCACGAACGCGCCGGTAAACGCCTGCGATGGCATAATACAGACCAGCGGAGTGAGCGAAGCGATTAACTAAATAATATGGAGCTTCAACCACGAGTTACCAACAAACATGTCTGTCTTGTCAAGCACTTGCTTGCTTAATGAAAACGTGTGAGTTGGTGTCAGACCGTTGCTCTCTACAAACGGATGAGCCAAGACCGGACAAACAAACACTAATCGTTTCAAATCAATGGCGCTAATGATTTGGAAACTCGGCAGCTAGACGCCAGGGACAGTGCAACATATTCTACATCTTCGAAAAACTTGCAACGCTTACCTGTCTACATAAGCAAAATAATAATCTGAATCACCAGTGCGAGTGCAAAATGGCTTCAATCTCGGACCAGACAATAAAACGCATCGAAATTTCTGACTGCATCCTAAACTTGTCCATACATGATAGATCTTGAACCATCTGTAGCTCGCGAAATGGACCGAGCGGCCTCGTCCCAGCAAGGGTAAACTAGAAGCTCTAAGAAAGCGCCCGAGGTCCAGTCCAAATTCGATCTTTTCCTAACTGAGCATTGGAATCCACGTCATTTGATGTTGTGTTATTGAAACTTCTGATGGGGGCACTTTCCCCCAAGTGGCGTCGCGCCGGGTCCGTTCGAGGGTCGCGGGGCCCCGCGGCCGAAAATGGCTGAAAACCGCCGTCTGTGCCTCCCTCACGACGCGAGGGGGTCTGGGTGTTGGTGCCTGCTGGCGCAGCCGATCCGATCCGACTCCCCAGACCCCCGACGTCATGATGACGTCGACCCCCAGAGGTTTCGACCCCTTCCCCAGGACCGGCGTTTCATCCTGAGTCGTTTTCTGACGGCCCCGAGGCCCGGCGAGGGCCCCCAGAGGCTGAGAACGACAGAAACACCTCCCGCCGTGATTCTTTCCACTGCTCGAGGGGGGTCTGGGATTGAAAAAAAATCACGACGTCGGATCTCTGGGTAGAGGCTGAAAACGACGCACGTCAACCCACTCGTGTCGACGCCGTGGCGCTGCACGCATTCGATGGAAAAGCTCGCGGACTGCTGGCTCTCTCGAACCTCTCTGGCTCGCTCCTCGAACCTCGAAAACTCGCCGACACTCCCCGCCGTGATTCCTTCCATTGCTCGAGGGGCGTCCGGGTCCCCGGCGCCGCCGCGCCCGGCGGGCCTCCGCGCCGCCCCCGCCAGGGCGCGCCGCGCCGCACGCCCGGCAGCGGGACCGCGAGGCGTCGTTGGCCTTGCCGCGGCACGGCCGGCAGTGCCACTGCGGGCCCCTGGCGCCGGCGCCGGCGGCTGGCGGCCGTGCGGCCTCGGGGTCCTCCTCCTCCTCCTCCTCCTCCTCCTGCTCCTCCTCCTCCTCCTCCTCCTCCTCCTCCTCCTCCTCTCCAGCGATGCCCACGGCGACGTGCGAGCGTCGACCCTCGAGGACCGAGGTGCGAGGCCGCCTGGCATTCGGGGGCCCTCCTCTTCGCCGCCACGACCGGACGCGTCTCGAAGAGGGGCGTGATCCTGGGACGGGTCTGGGCACCCCACTGCGACGGAGATCCCGAGGGCCCGCCAGACGAGGCACGGAGCCGTTTTTGTCGGCCCCAGGAACGCCTGGGTGCACGATGTGCGCTGGATCTTTTTACATATTTCTCTCTATATTGTTTGAACATTTGTTTGAGTATTGTTTATTTTTCGTCCACAAGGGGGACATGGCCGACCTAAGCCTCCCATGAAGGCGGGGGGGGGAGGGCCTTCCGAGCAGGCCGGGCGGCTTCTGAGAGGTCCCTCGCGGCTGCCCGATCGGGGCAGCCTCCGGGCACCTCCCGAGCAGGTCCCCGGCCCTCTCGGAGGCCCGCCGACTTCTCCATCCAGGTCGCCCCCCCTCCGCGCCCCCCCCCCCCCCAACCCTGACTCCAGATCCGCCCTACTTTGGCTTTTTTTCCAACTTAAAATTACGTCAGAAATCCACCTAGAAGAGGCCGAAAAAGTGAGCGGAAACTGCTGCACCCAACATAAAATGGGGCGAAAATCCACAGAAGTAGGGCGGAAACAACAACAGAAAAGTAGGGCGGGAATTGGCATCAGCGGGGCTTGAAAAGTAAGGCGGAAATTCCAAGCCCTACTTACGAATTTTCCCAAAGTAGGGCGGATCCGGAGTCAGGGAAACCTCCGACGCACTGACAAAATCAGGACGGAGGTCTTCCTCGACCCTCGGCCTCCAGCGGCCCTCGCCGGGCCACTGGGACCGTCACAAAACGACTCAGGGTGCCCAGACCCCCGACGTCACGATTTTTTCATGCCGTCGACCCCCCGAAGTCTCGACCTACTCTTCCCCGGGACCGCTTTCTCATCCCGGCTCGTTTCTCGACGGCCCCGAGGCCCCGCAAGGGCCCCCTTACCCTGGCCCTCCAACCTTCCGGACCTTCCGGGTCGGGCTGTTTTTTTTACGGTTTTTCACAAGAGTTTCGTAAAGTTTGCATGGGTTTTAGTAAATTTCTTTGAGTTTTATATCATAAGGTAAAGTTATTATGAGTCATTGTATGTTTTCTCATAGTCCTTCAATGTGGTCGGAGATCAGGGAGTGAGATCGGAAGTCGGTTCGGTTTCGCGTTCGCGTCGCGCGTGCGATGCGGAGCGTTTCTTCTGGCGCCCAGCGCGCGGCCAGACGAAAAGACAGCCCCCCGTCCCCCCCCCACGCGGCAGGGGGGAGTCAGGGGTGTCCCGCCGCGGTGTTCCGATGGTGTCTCGTGGTGTTCCGTGGTGTCTCGTGATGTATCGTGGTGTCTCCTTGTGCCTCGTGGTGTCTCGTGGTGCCTCGTGTTATTTCGTGGTGTTTTTCGTGGTGGCTCGTGGTGTTCTGTTGTGTTTCGCGGCGGTCCGTGATGATTCATGGTGTCTCGTGGTGTCTCGTGGTGTCTCGCGGTGTCTCGTGGTGTCTCGTGGTGTTTCGTGGGTTCTCGTTCTGGTGTTTCATGGCGGTGTCTCGTGAGGGTGTTTCGTGCTGGTGTCTTCGTGATGGTGTTTCGTGATGGTGTCTCGTGCTGGTGTCTCGCGATGGTGTCTCGTCATCGCGTCTCGTGATGGTGCCCCGTGGTGTCCCGCTGTTTTTCGTGAGAACGATAATGGGATCGATATCGAGATCGACAGTGAGATCCATAGCAGGATCGATAATGAGATCGATCGTGCCATCGATATTGATGTCGATAGTGAGATCGATCGTAATATCGACAGCGATAGCGATAGTGGGGTCGATCGGGAGATAGATGGTGACATCGATTGCGAGATCGATTGCCTTCGAGTGATAGATCGATCGAGTGGCATCGATAGTGGCATCGACAGTGGGATCGATCGAGATCGATAGTTTGGCCGACGGAGAGCGATAGTGAGAACGATATTGAAATCGATCTTGAAATCGATACGGAGATCGATGTATAGGTTGGTGATGTACTCGATCGAGTGGGACATTGCTCCCCTCCCCCGAGCCTCCTCATCGCCCGAAGGGTGGTCGTATATGTATATTTCGGGCTTTGATTTCACGCGAACAGAGCTTGCACGTAAGGGATTCGGCCGAGCTGTGGCATATGATGGCGAAACCTGCGGTGCAATTGGTTAGTCGGCCCCTCTATGGCGCAACCTATGCTCTATGGCGCAACCTATGGTCACGGCGCAGTTTGTGGCGATCAACGCATGGCGCAATTACGGCACGGTGCAGCGCCCTTCGACAAGCAACACAGGCGTCAGTCCTTCGCACGCCGCGCTCGGCAGGAAAACGGTTCTCAATTAAGCATGAAGGAAGCGTGTCTTGAGGGAACGGGCTTTGGATCCTTGACACCACCTTGGGTCCCAAGTTGGACCTCGACGCCCCTGGAGCAGTTCTTTGTTCTTTCGGGCGGTATCCGAGCCCGCCGAGGGGGCCTCGACGGCGAAAAACATCGTCCAACGTCCGTTCCACCATGACCCGCTTCCTTCATGGCGGACAGTGCTCTATACAACCGCCCTTGCCGATAAAATCCATGAAATAGAAAAAGCACGTCATGCACTGCAGGCGCGGCGACGGCCCACGGCTCCAGGGGCGACAGCGAGAAACCAGGGGCCGCGGGAGTGGAGGAGAGGGGATGGAGGACGGGAAATAGGGAGGACGAGAGGGGGAGGGGAGGGGAGAGGGAGGAGGGGAAGGAGAGAGGGAGGGTTAGGAGGGGGAGAGCGAGGGGGCAGGGTGAGAGAGGCCGTCCTCGTCGGATCCCCCCATTTCGCCCCAGCGCGGAGACAGCGAGGGCCCCCGAAGGCCAAAC